AAACCTGCCAAATGCAAAGAATAATAATTTTCTGAAAACACAAGCCGTTTCCATTGTTTATCACACTTCGTATCGGCAAAATGTTGTCAAGTTGCAACACACAACCAGAGATATGCAGCCACACAAATCACCAAAAACGCCAGAAATAATCTGACAACTTCCTATATAAAAACATTCGACTGCCAAAAGAAACGAAGCTGTCTGCTTTGAGCCACAAGTTAGATCTTGGTTTAGTTATGAGCGGCCTGGCGGACCGGGTCACTGCATGCATAAACTTTGATAAAGAGCCGCGCTTGGTAGTTCATACTCGGCCGTCATTATGCCGCGTTATCCTTTGTGTTCTTTCATGATTTTCACAGACAACTCATAATTTTCTACCGAATAAAAACGCGTCTCTACCTGTGCACTGTCTTATTATTCTGAGTTTGTATCGACTGCAACACGTTTGTAACTACTAAACTAGTGAACAGACATGATAAGAACTACTAGTAATTTTTATAAAATCTACGTTTTTATTAAAAAATACGATACTTACAAACTTCAGCAGAATGTTTACATAATCTTACGGTAACTGCTAACAATAATCTTTTACGATTTACAGCATACAGCAAATAGTAGCCGCTTACAAAAAAAATCAGTTCCAACAAATTTACAGAGATAGTCCGTACTTTTCAGATAGAACATAGAACGTCGTGCGTGAAAATTATTTCCACAAGTCTAGGACAACGTGCAACGTAAATTCACATAATCAACAAAATTATATACGCTCATAATCTCATACCACGTCCGGGCAAGCTTTTTTCCAGGGCTATCTACTCCGGTATCGCGCGATAACTTTTCAGTGTTGTGATCTTGCTGATCGTCAATCTCCTCTGGGGGTAGGCCTAAAAACAAGTCCGTAACTCCAGAATACCCCGGCAGATTTTCTCCAATAAGGTCTCAGAATAGTCCATAAACCTCCATCTGCAAATCTACGTAGGATACGGCCGTGAAAAAGATCGTCTACCGGCCCAAATGCTGCCGCAAAGCGCACAGCTTCTCCGCTCGCAAACAAGACACGCCATCCGCCATTTTGGGTGAGTCACGTGACCCCTACTCCCGCGAAATCTTAGCGTTCTTTTGGCTGTTCTTTTTACTGGACATATCCCCGGCCTGTTTTTCCAAATAGCGTCGCAGTAAGCTAAATACAGCGTGCTGAAAGGTCAATGACCCATTTTTCGGTGGGAGGGATGGGCGCCCTTGGAATGGCGACAAAAAATTGGCGATTTCGGCTCTTTCGGGCTTCAAAATGGACATTATGTAACCCCTACGACATATACAGCATTTTAAGAATGAAACTGTGGAAAAAATGTTCATGGAAAGAGACAAAAAGGTGGTATTTTTTGAAAGATAAGCTTATAAACTAAAATCGTATGCGAGGCCGACACACTGCGCCGCTTTATATGTTGGGGAGGGGTGCTGGCGCATGGCACTGTTGACATTTACGAAAAAAAATTCATAAAAAATCAACACTTTGAGATATTAAAAAATGCTCGCATACGTTTGTTCCTATTACTAGTGTGTGCCTTTCAACAAAATATGGTGAATAAAAACCAAAGCGCTAGCCAGAAAAATTGATTTTTCTAAAAAGGGGGCGTGGCTCATAACTCGAGATGACGTCATGATTACGTCATCAAAATTTGCATAAATTATCATCTTGCACTAAGGTACTTACACAAAAAAAATCAATGACCATAGGTAATCCTAAGTAGTATTTTTAGGATGTCCCCAAAGTCCTCAGCCACCCTTCCATACCACCTTAAAGTGTTTGAAATAGCCCCAAAACAAGCCACATGAGAAGTCCCTTTATTTTTGGGTACCACCCATATACTAGTACAGTAGTTAGAACCAGCCTACGATACAAGCAACCGTTTTCCATCAGTGACATCGCATTTTTGCTAGATTCAACTTACTACATTAAGTGAATGACCAAATTGACTTTGAAAGTTGACTTTGAAAATCTGTGAAATTGCATTGGATGCCTTTAAGAAAGGAAACAATGAGACAATCATTTAATGTGAAGGCGGAATAAGGTTGAAAAACGACAGTTCGGACGTTGCTCCACCAGGCCAAAGTTTCTGACCGCGCCAGTGTAAATCAAAGCTCTTGCGGAAAGCTCAGGGGCGATTTTCCCTCCAAATCTCACCCCGTCATCAAAATCTCTCCTAAATCCGGTCTTTTACTCTTGCCGATGACGCACAGAGATGATCCGTTGCCATGGCAACAAATTCATTAAACTGGATGTTACCGGCGGTAATAAGATCATGAGGCGTGCTTTTGCGGTGGGTCAGGCCCCAGGGGCAGGGAGGGACGAGGATGTGGACCCCCGGGGGACAGCGGAGAGGGGGAAAAAGGAGCTTGGTCAGCATTCTGAAAATGCCTCGCATCACAAAAGTGTAGCCTTAGCCTCTACCAGGCTTCGGAAGCGGCTGGAAACCAAAGTTACTCCTTTAGCGGAGCAAATACCAGTATTCTCTTCATTTGGCTAAATTTTTCTATTTATTGTTGTTAGTCTGGTGGAGACTAACAGAAATCAGTGCTTAATTGGTAGCCTGGCATATATTTGTGTTTTGTATTCGCGTAGCTATTGAAAATAAATTGAAAAGGTATATTGAGACAGGGAAGTGATAGTTAAATTTCTGTGTACAACATTTGAGACAAATAGATAAAAGTCTGGAGTAACTCAAAACGAACAAATTGATTTGCATGTAAAAAAATCCTGTTCTTTGACTTTGTGTTGGTCGGACGTGGAAAGAACGCTGTCTACAATTGCAAGGTGTGCTTTGTTCCCGCTACTACAAAGTGCAGGAAGGAGATCTGTAACTGAGCTGTATGTGCATCATTTCCTCAATAACTCAATTTAAAACAATTCCGAGATCTCATACCTCCATAGAATATGGGCTTGATATGTAAATGTAAATTTCTTCTTTAATTATGCAAATTACCTCTGCATTAACATGATATATGCATCATGATGTATGTTAACTTTTGATTAAGTTACAGATGTCCCAAGTATGACATTCCCATCATTCACCATTAAGAAATCAAAGAATTTTTGCATAAATTATGCAAATTAGGTCATCATTTGCATAATTAGTATCTGCCTGCCATAGGTTACATACATTTCATGTATGAAAGTAGTATAATGCAAAACACTGTAATTATAGAATTTCCTCATTAATTATGCAAATTAAGTCCTCATTTGCATAATTTGCATTTAATCATGTACATCTCTCTCTCAGCTACCTACACACCAACAATCATGAAAATATGTTGTTCCTATCTGGACTTACTGGCTTTTAAACATTTCGCCAGAAAGTGCCCTGCAGTTCCAGAACAAGCTGCTAGGGGGACCAAACTCACACCACTTATTCCTGCAGTACCAAGGTCATCCACCAGGAGGCCCATATTTGACCTTGACGTTTGTCTTCCTAAGACTTACCAACATACCAAATATCATTACAATCCATAAAGGCGTTCTGAAGTTATGCTGACCACAAAGTTGCGGAAACACAGACAGACAGACAGACAGACACACAGACATACATACATACAGACAGACACACCAAAAACAATACCTCCATTTTTCATGGAGGTAATAATTCTCCATCGACGTCAATATGCCAACCTCTAACTACATGGTTAATCCCACTGCTGTACTGAAATTAATTTCTCTGCTTTGATTGTATTGCTGTAGACGATTTGGCAGTTCTGCTCACACCACTGAAACTAAACGTTTACTGACAAGTAGGTTTGGTTTTACTCCCACGAACGGTACTCAGATAGTAGTAGGTCGGTCCCTGGACACTTTTAGACCGATCGCACTCAAACTGAGAGTGACACATGATTTAAGGCTATTCTGTTTCGATAAACTTCATACCAGTTTGAGTTAATGAGTTGTTGTATAGTGTAGAATGTACAAGTATATGAGGTAAAAAGAGTGTACAGAATTGATGACGCAGGTGTTCTGGTAGTTTTGTGGTGTAACAGTCACGGTTTACAGGGTGAATGACCGAGAAAATATGGCGTAACAAGGTGTGGGTTATCTATGAAGTAGAATTAGCTTGGCCGTACATTTAGATGTACATTTTCACGAACTTACACTGTTATTTTATTCGGATTTCGCATGTATCAACATCCAAAATGTTGTAGAGAAAACTGTGTGTGGCTGTACCGAATTCGAAACGTGTACCAGGTAATTTCAATGAAGTTGGGGTAACAAGGTATGAAAAACTGATTTTGGTTTTGTCGTTCATACGTCATTCGCTAGGGGGAGCACGGGGTAAGCAATGGGGCAAGACAGACATTTTTGATGCGATCAACAGGTGGTTTATTTCACTCCAACGGGAGGACCGTCTAGTCAGGATAACACACACGGCTACTGTATGGGTTATTCACGGAAAACATTGGTTTAGTACAGGCAGGAGAGAGAAAATTAAAAGCAAATGTTAATATTAGTAGCATTTGTGATATTGCCGAACTACATAGGCGCAGGTGTCACGACAATGACTATGTGCCATCCATTGTTTTGTTCGGCAATTAATTTGATACGGCGATTCTACATAATTTCTGACATCGATGTTCCCCTTAGTTCGTCTCCTGCCGGCCGACCTGGCCCGCCCGCCCGTCCAAGCAACAGTAAAACGGCCGTCCATCGCTCCCGGAAGGCCCGCCGTGGCTAAGCCGCTTTGTAAGGGCGGCGCGCGGGCACAAAGAATCATACGTACCGCGGCGGAGGGATCATTGCACGCCAATATGGATTAATTTTATGCCTCGGCTTGGCGTATATATATTCTAAACGCCGTTTCGGCGCGGGGAATAGGGTTATGTTGGGTAGATTTTGCTCCGAGAGTCCGTGGCGGAAGCGAGAGAGGGGAAAAACACACACACGTATGACCTGCGGGGGCAAGCCATCCGCGACGCGGCGGAAGAGCCATTGAAAACGCGGCTTGGCCCGAGGGGACGGCCGGTTAATGAAATTTGTGGAGGGAGAGAAAAAAAAGAGAGAAGACTCGTCTGTTCTCTGCACATGCGCGGAGGCAAGCCAATTAACTTAGACCCGTACACCTTCTCTCATAAATTATTCAGCCATTTAATAATGCATGGGCCGCACTATAGGATGGTACCTACGCTTTGCCTGGCGTTTCCAATCGGATAAAGACAGAAACGCGAGAGCCTGGGAGAGCCGCGCCGTGTGGTTGCCGCGTTGTGGATGGTTTTCGCACCGCCTTTTTTGTATCCCCCTCCCGTCCGTAGGATGGAGTCACCGTGCCGGGAACCTTGGACATAAGAGTCACGATCGGGGGAAAAAAACAAAAACAAACCGCGGCAGCTGTGTGAGGAAAGCACCTAAGGAAGCTGGCGGAAATACGCGAAAATGCCCGGATCCAGAAAGGGTTTAATAGCCCCACAGAACACCTTTCTGGAAAATATCATCCGCAGATCCAACGGAACACGTACGTACTTTTTTCTACCTTTCGTAGTATTTTTCCTTCCTTCTGTGAGTGATAGAAAAGTCCTTAGCTAGGTCTGACAGGTTGTTTGTTCTGTATTAGTGAGAACCACGTTCGCACGTTTGCCGTGTGTGCATCGTGCTTTGCCGGTCAGCTGGGCGGGAAAAGAGCTTCCACGCCGTCATGCCCCGTTAACCCCACAACGCGCGGTAACAGATTGGACGTTTTTAGGTTCAGGAGGTGGGGAGAAAGGGCACCGGCCACACACACTCTTTATGGCTCGCTCCGGTGCAAATATATCTCCGTCTATAATGTCTGGCATCTCCCTATACTCTAGCAGCCGTGAGTGGATTATTGCCCTTGTAGCTTCGATATTGGTCTGACCGAGACCCGAACGGGGCAGAAAAAGAGGAAAAATGATACGCCATGTAAGTAACCTCCCTCGTGACCGCTGTACGATAACAGACGGTCAAAAGCTACACAAGGACATCGCCTATCATTCTACAGTAGTCATTTGGTGCCGTAAATACAGTGAGAAACGTCTAGAAAAAAAAGCACACACACACACACGGCAACAACAACATTGACGTACCGATCTATTTCGACCTTTTCCATCGAAGCGCTCCGCCCGATAATAAAGACAGCAGACGGATTAACTGTTACAGCAAAGTCCGTCCGGCTGTAATAACATAAGTCCGAGTCTACATCAATACACTGGGATAAAAGCCAGGATAACGGCTGGCTCTTGCTCCTAACGCCGGAGCTGTCCTTGGTGATGAAATGGTCTTTGTGGGATGAAAGCTGCCTAGTTATTCCAACACATTCTAAGAGAGAGCTCGAGAGAGAGAACTCAAAGCAGTGCTACGATACTGTCGTCTGATCTCCTCTTCTCTAAGACTGTCTGACACTTGACTTAGCTCTGTTTTGTAGATCCGGTAAGCTCTCAATTACTGCCTCAGCCCCACAAACTGCGCTATGGAGCACAGCCGGGCTTTTCGGAACGGAGATAGGGTAGAGTCAAGTTAGGACTGCCTGCCAACTGTCTGTCTTTTTAAATTCAATCTCCTTTAGCGTTGGAACATAACCATAAGACTTGTACGGTCGGATGACCTATGCTCACACGAAACAAGAGAGACGTATATACGTGCTTGTGTGTGTGTGAAATACGGATACACAGGAGTCGTTAAGATAACAGGTTGGCAGGCTGGTATTACAGGCGATCTTGTGGTAATGACTCGGTGCCGTGTCATGATGGCGACTTCCCGCCCTCTCATTACCATCCCCCCGCCGGCGGCCCGTCAATAGCGTGACAGGTCAGTCCTCAGTGGCGAGTGGCCACCCAGGGGGTTCAACAGCCTGAGACTGAGAGAGGAGATACGTGCTTCTCTCCAGGCAGAGGTTTGGGTTTTGGCTTATATTTGGCGTGTTTTTAGGCTTTTTATCGGGCTGTCTTTTTTGCACTGGTGTCTATTTTTTTACGCCAACACAGTGCAAAAAGAAAGCCCAATAAAAAGCCTAAAACACGACAAAAATAAGCCAAAACCTCTACTTGGAGAGTAATATGTAAGATGTGCCCTCAGAATAACATCGTCGTCATTGGACGGAAAATTAATGCACGTAAGCGGCTGTGTGTGTGCGTGGGTCCCGCCGGCAAATATTGGCGAGCGGCGAACGGGGAGACCTCCGCTAACAAAGGTCGAGTGGCAGCCGGCGATGTTACAGGAAAACCCCGTACTTCTCTACTGAAGTAACACAGGGACACTTACGGCTATAGCAAAGGATATACCTTCTCTAGTCCTAGGATATATAAATCTTATCTCTTCAATGTAGAACATCCAGATATTAAGCAGTGTTGAAAAAGAAAAAAAAGGCATGATACAATTCTAATCGGTTGCTCTTTTTGGTTCTGCGTCGGCCATTTTTTTTATGGCGTCCGTGTCTGCCTCTTTAGAGTGGTCGGATTGTTCTCTATATATCCGCAATCTGTATTGAATTGTATCTCTAGATTAAGATTAAGAGTTGTTGCTTTGGTGAGGTAGGCAGCACTTCAGTGATGCGTTTTCCTTGTCGCTTCTATTTGGAGATGGCCTCGCGTCACGATTCCGTGACAACACCTTACAACCCGCAATCTATGTTTCCCACACAGACGTCCATATTAGCTGTATATATATGTACCAGACCGTACCTCCAAAGGTTGTCGTGATTTTATATAACACGGCTTTTCTATAGCCTTCCCGCTATACCCTTGCCAGCTCATGCACGGCCTCTGTAATAGCCGCTGACGCGCATTTTAAAGCGATTGTGCCGTGCCTTTGTGAACCAGCCGGCTCTCATCATGGCCGGCGTCCGTGGCAAAGCCATGCATGTACGTACACACAGTCACCGCGGTTTTACACAGGGTTGGGCACCATGAGGCCACAGTTTACTCTCCAAGCAGAGGTTTGGATTCTGGCTTATTTTTAGTTTTGATGTTTTTTTTTATCGGGCTTTCTTTTTTGTACCTGTATCTGTCATGTTCTCCAAAAGGACGAAATTCGGTTAAATTCAGCATTTGAAATGTTTCTTTTTAAATTGGACGGTATGTTTTCCAAAATTTTAAAAATACTTTTCATAATAGGTCCTGTTTCACATCTCAAACACAACAAAACTGTCCATACGTAAAATAAATACCAGTGCCCGATAAAAAAAGCATAAAATCACGCCAAAAATAAGCCAAAACCCAAACCTCTGCTTGTATCTACAGTACAGTTCCGACAACAACAAAGAAAACCTAACAGATCCCTGCATGTTTCACACAGAAAGGATACACGTATCTGAGTTTTTGTCTACACAGCAAATTTCAGTGAGGGGAGGCACTAGCTTTTTGATGACTAAAGCATTAGAGTCAAATCATACAGATGGGTCTATATGTATTCTATTGGTTTGAGGGTTAGACAGCAGGGAGAAGGTTAACTCTCACAACAATATTGACGAACACAAAGAACTGCAACGTAGGAACAATATAGAGTTATTTTACGTTACGAAACCTGGATGCTAGTGATACATAAGAAGCCATTTGTGGAATTAATTTTTTAGTTGAAAATGGCGATGAAAGCCTTTTGTCGTCCACCATATTTTAGTCCACTGGGAACATGATCTTGCATATTGATGATAATTTTCAGCGTAAATTTTCTCATATCTCTTTATCCGTGCGAAAAACCACTACTGGCACTAGCTATAGAGCGAGGGACGTACGAGCTAGAATGCCACAAGGTTTTTCAATAAAGTGTGTACATTGTATATGAGTACCGTAGTGTGTCGTGATATTCTAAAGGGCACACAATATATCCTGATCGTAAAGTTACAAATATGATCACCACTGTTCATTGCTTATGTGGTAAAACTTACTTTCTAGGGCAAATGTAATTTCTGATATAGAAAATATCAACAGTAGGGACTGTGGTAACGTTCGTGTATTTTGGCCCAATATTGAACAGCTAGAACGGTTTTACGGTGTTCAGAGGGTAACAGTTGGTTTTGACAGGTACTCTGTGTGTTTGTCTCTATGGCATTTGGCGGCGTCATAATCCCCTTAGCGACCCTCCCATTCTACTGAGACAACATCCAACCCACCCACACCTCAACACACAGTCTCCTGTCCTTGGAGACGTAAAAAAGCAATGCCAAACTCCAACTTTACTCTATCAGTAATAGAATTTACAATTCCTGCGACGCGCTGCGTTTCTTGGCAAATTGCGTGTAGTTGCTTGCTCACACGCGTGAATGCGGCGTAATGCTATTCCGGCGCGACCCTCTCAGAGACCTTTTTAGACGCCGAATTACAACGGGAAAATTGCAGCGCCGGATATCAAACGATAATGAAAAGTGCGCAATTTCCGACACCGTTCTCGTGAAAGCTACTTTGTGCTGACAATGAGTAAGGATGACGGTTCGAAAAACGTCACGGTACTAATAGAGTCTCTATGACAACCTTGGCAAGGCGTTTTATAGATAGACGGCTATTGTTAGAAGAAAAAGTCGACCTATTCATGGCAGAAAAAATACTCAGTTGTAGTCAATTCCTGCCTCTCGAGTCAAATGGATAAAAGGATGTTAAAATGACGTTCGGTAACGTCACTGATGTACATTCTAAAATAGACCTTTGTTGTTGGATTGGCAGTATCTTAGGTATAGTATATCGAATGTTATTTTAAGGCACCAGGCAAGTTTGTACAAGCCAAATGGTGTATTGTAGTTAATTTGACAGGAAATGTACAGCGGCCAACTGGTCACGCAACGAGTTTGTAACAAAGTACGTATTACACAAGTACGTATGTGTTATGTTTTTGTTATGGTTATTAAATAATGAATTAGATAAATCTGACGCGAGCATTATTAAAACAGGAGTATTATCACTCCATCATGCTGAATCATATGTTATATTAACAAATGAGTAAGACTTCTTTATTCTAAAAAATGAATGAGTCATGATGATACGAAAAAGGATTGACCACTAAAGAAACAAAATGGCGCGCATGCAATTGATTACCCAAACAAATATGTCTGTCACATACGTCATAGGTCACTATGGCAACGTGCCTCGTTATAACAAATGGTTTTCTGCATAATGAGTCTGCTGTGCGGCGTGTTGTCTCCCTGGTGCCGTCCGCACATCCAGGGCAGTATTATTCTTCGCGGGTAAATTTGGACACGGGGGAAAAACGGAAGCCATCGCTTGAGAGCTATATATGGATACAACATTTGCTGAGCGAATGGACAGGCTTTGTTATGGATATGTCGACTCGTAGTTATTAATATCAATAAAAAGATCGCCACCTACGCCAACTGGAAACGATTATTAAATACTCCGTATTGCAACAATTCCTTTTTGTACATTTAGAGTAAAACGACTTTGGAAACAATGGTGAAGCTATTGCTACCACACAATTCTATGACTACCCAATCATATATGGAATACAATTCGGATAAGATACTTTGATATCTACTTTGTATATACAAATATC